AAATTAATTATTAATAATAATGAACAAATAATTAATATGTTAACGATGCTCTGGTTTCCTTTTGAGTTCCTTGGGGATGTTTCTGCTCCTGCATCCCACAGCTGAGTCCGAGCAGGTGGTTTGGCTGCAGTTGTGGGTGGCAGGGCATGACCACACTGACCCTTTTTTGGCTGGTGCTTGTGCCCAGCCCAAAGCCAGGGAGCTTATTTCGATGAATGCTGCTTGACTTGCTTTGTATTGATGTGTAAGAAAGTTGCTGTCGGCTATTGCAGACTGGGGGGTAGAGTTATAAACTTAGTGCGAGCTGCCTCTTTCAGGTTTTAACAGGTAATTATTTAATTGGGAATCAGATTAACACAGATTGGTCTTGTGGTTAAAGCTGTGGTAAGACATGGAGGAATTAGGGATTTAATTCCTCCTTTTGCCACTGTTGGCTCATCAGTGAGTCATATTCATCTCTGCTGTGTTAAGACGGGAGAGTAATGCTCCTTTTTGGTCTCGTTCGAGGGCTCTACACGCTGCTGGGTGCAGGCTTTTGGGGCAGCCCTTTGGTCTGATTGTGGTCTAATTTTGGCTATTTGGGGTTTGCCTCTGTGCCAGGTATATTGCCACCTTCCAGCACAGCAGGGACCGAGCTGCCAGTCTGTTTGGGGAGCCCTGTGCATCTTGAGCCAAAGAATGATCCTGTGTGTAATGCTGCATAGTAATGTTGTTCATAAAGTAGCAAGGAAAAAAAGCTTCCATAAAGTAACAGCTAATTCAGGTCTCAGATGAAGGCCAAGCCCAGCACAAGCTTGTAAGAAATACCCTGTAAGAGGCTGGTTTTGGTCAGTCTGGTCTCTGTCCTTCTGTGCACGATGCGGTCATAGCTCCTAAGAAGAGATTGCCGAGTTCAGACTTGGCTGAAAAATCAAGGGAAAATAAACTGATTAGCTGGGCAGGAATAAGAGCTGCTCCTGTGTGAAGCTCATCTTTCCTGAACGAGCTGGAGACTTTCATGCTGCTGAAGTCCTGCTCAAACCAACGCTCTTAGCGATGAAGTGCAACATGAGTGGTCTGTAGGGCTTCAGCTGGCTCTTCGCCTCTCCTTTGGTTTCCAGAAGAAAGCAGAGGTGAGAGACTCATGGACATCTGTGAACAGAGGTTATTTCCTCTCCTGCTGGTTACCTGCATGGTTTGCAGTTTTTGTGCAATACCCGGACTCATTCTACTTTATCTCACTTTGACCGAATCCATCACAGGATGGATGTCACCTTGCTTTAGCTGCTGCGGGAGCTTTTGGCAAACGCTTGCTAAACAGCTTGCAAGTGGCATCATTCTGTTCATGTATAGAGCTGGTGAAGTCTTGTTTTCATGTTGCAGTTCTTTCCTCTCAATATGCTGCACAATTTTAGCTATAAGATCATGACAACAAGCAGCATTTAAACTGTCCAGCACCACACGCTTTCCTACAAGATGACCACAACTGGCTGTAGTGTGCTGGGGCTCCCTTGCTGAAGGAGATGCGTCCGCGCAGTTTTCGTCACAACAGCAACTGGCCTTTTGGATGATGGATTCTTCTGCAGATGTTCCTGTTCCCGCAAACATCTGGGCCCTGCTGTGGCCACTCGCCATGGGATGGCTTCTGTGCAATGCTGCGAGCAAGGCTCAAATCCCCCGCACCCGGCGTGGGGACCGGGCTGATGTCAGGAGTCTGGAATTCACATCCCCTCCCCCTTGCCTTTGCCTTTTCCCCCTCTCCTCCCTAAATAAATGTTGGAGGTCACTTAGGAGCTGGCTGATTTGACTCTCGGAGCACAGGGAGGTAACTGGAAGCAGAGTTGGCGTTTTATTGTAATTTTAGTTGCTTAAACACAGGTTGGGCTGTATGTATGCAGATACTTGTGTGAAATAAAACATGGTTAAAGGCAGTGGGAAGATCTAAGCGGCAAGGACAGCTTAGACGAATGTGTGTCATCCACATATACTGTCTAACAAGAGTGAGAGATGAGGAAACATTACGGCTGTATGCTGCTAGGGCCAGACGCTCTCAGCTGGTTTATCTGCAGCGTTGCCTTGGATTTGCCATATGTTTGTAATCTCTCATTGAGGGCCCAACTTCTCAGGGTTGTGGAAACTTTTAAAAACTGTCTAACAATGTACATGAATTTTCCATGCAAATATTAGGCTGATCTTCCTGGTAACCAAAACTTTTTATATTGTAAAAGATCTGTTCATGCTATTTTTTCAGTGCTGGATTGTTTATTGTGTTCAGTGCTGATGTGCGTGCTGTAGCCCTGCCCCATGGATGCAGCCAGTTGCATATGGCATATCCCTTGCAAAGCCTCTCCCTCTCTTTTTCTCTCTGGTCTTTCGAGTAATATGCTTGATCCCACATGAGGCCAATTTTTATTTTTTCCCTTGCAAGATTTTTTTCCTGTATTTTCCTGCCTTTTGGGGAGATGTGTCCTTTGCAGCAGTAGTAATGCCGTGCGCCTTCCTGAATGCAGTTGGGCTATTTGTGATCGCTCTATGAGCTGGTAAGAAGCTTTGCACCCGTGGCCATGCAGTGTGGCAAGATGCCCTGAGATCCTGATGAAAGCTGGGGCAACCAGCCCAGGGGGTTAGTTTTGGGTATCACTGCAAACATCAGACTAGCCAATGTGTTGGCTGTCCTTGAGGATCTGAGTAATATCACTCTCTGGGGAAAATAATGGATCAAGTGGCAAAAGAGTACAGCTGTGATTTATTGTCCAGGCAAGGCTAAATGAAGGTGTGCAGACGCTTGCTTTGGGCACTGCTGGGTGTTTGAGTTGGGTGTTTCATCTTTCTGACAGCACTTTGTTCCTAGTATCAAGTCAAAATTAAGAATAATCTAAGTGTTTAAAGTCAGATCTGGTTATTTCACTTTTGGAGACACCATCATTCCTGATGTGAGCAAGACCAGATTGGGAAGTTAATGAGACATATCACTTGCAATTACTTAATCGATGTTCTAAAGACCTGAACATCTGGAGGTGAACCAGCCCTGACTTTGCTGGTGTGGGGAGCACTGGGTGTGAGACAAGCACTCTCCATTTAATTTAATGTCTGCAGCAGCGAGCGCCTCAGTCAGGATATGAGCCTAATGGGATGTGTTTGAGGAGGGCTGTTGAGGGAAGAAGCCTGTTGCTTCATGTTGTTAGTCAAAATGCCTGTGCAGATTTTTTCTTGTTCTGTGAAGTGTATGTGTTGGCCGTCCAGCTGCATGCTCATACGCACTGGTGGTTGTGCAGAAATCCCGTTGTGTCATGGGGGGAATACCTAGCAAAGAAGGGGAATTATTAGATGGTATTTGCCCAGGCTTGGGCTGAGTTAGAGGGGGCACTTGACTGCCTGCAGTGGAGTTGTACCGCAACCTGTGTCACCTGCCTTCACCTTGTGCATAGACTGTGCAGGCAGCATGACCAACCCCTGAGCCCTGAAGCACTGCTGGGATGCTGCTCTGCCATGACTCGTGTTTGGCCCCAAGGCATGGCTGTGGGTTTACCTGTTATCCCAGCTGGTGTGAATTTATATGTGGTGGTTTTGCATGGTGTGTGTAATCCTTTGGGGAAGCTTGCTCAGGTATTTGCTTCAAAACAACTTTTTGGATCAACCAACTTGGGAAAAAAAGAATGGGAATGTTTGCATCAGCATGATGGCAACTTCTTGATTTAAAGCCTTTCTCTCGGATCATGAATTTCATGTCTCATGCTTAATCTTCAGGATGTGTTTGGGTGATGGAGATTGGGTGAAGACATCCAGAAAATATAACTACTATAGCTAATAAGACAGTATGTTCTCCCTTCTGCCCTAGTGCAGACAGCTGCTCATCTGTTCCTCCCTACATTGAATTAATGTCTCTTACCAGCAGTGTATGGTGTCCTAGCTTTGAAGCTGGTATTAACATTTTATTTGCAGATGTATTGAAAAGACGTTTCATCTGTTTTTAAAATTGTGATGAATGATTTGTGTGAGGCAGGCTAATAATGACTTGTATCTGAGCAAGTGCCAGTCTTATTGCCTGCTAATTCTTGTTTTCTCCTTTTCTTTTTCAGCTGAACCTGCAGATCTCTTGAAGGTATTAGATTTTCATAATTTACCTGATGGTATAACAAAAACAACAGGGTTTTGCACAAGCAGAAGATCTTCGAAAGAAGCAGATGTTGCTTATAGAGTAACAAAAGACGCTCAGCTTAGTGCACCGACAAAACAGCTGTATCCTGGTGAGTCTGCAGCTTTTTATTTGTCGTATGGAAATACCTGATCCTTTTCTCAGATTCTGCAGGCACATACAGGGCACTGCGTAAGCCCTTCACTTTCCAAGCGCGCTTGCATGCTCCCTTGGCAGGGCGCGATTCTGCTGTTTCATGGGGCTGCAAACTCTTCAACTGTCAAATAACATTGCAGTAAGTTGTTCTTTTACCATTGCACTTGCAGATGGTGGTGGGCTTCGCTGCAGAAGATGTGGCCAGTGCCTACATCTGTTCTCTCCTCTATTAGAGAGTTTCTACTGTCTTATTATCACACAGTGACATCCAGCTGGGGAGAGAGACTTGGAAGATGCAAAGGAACGCAGACCATGTTTTGTTCTGCGTTTGTGGAGTGCCAAGCACAGTAGGGTCTTATTCTGTGGCTGTGGTGTCTCTCATAACACAAATAATCACCATATAAAAATAATAGTCTGCCCCACAAAAACAGATGTCCCGAGAAAAGTTGTTTGAAGAAATCAGAGGTTTGTTAGAGGAAGCCACTAAGATGCAGGAGTTTACAATGCCCTTGAAGAGCATGTAAGCTTCTGACCGATTTATTTGTCACTGAGGATGCACTGGAGTTTTTAAATTTTTTCAAGCCAAGGGAGTGTGCAGGGATGCTGAGAGTAGGCACAGTAGGACTTTCTAGGTTTGAGAAAAGTGCCTTTGAGGGAGGTTTAGCAATGAGGTGGAAAGAGATGCTGCACATAACTAGTCTGTGAAGCAGTAGATGACTTAAGCAAAGCAGACACACACGTGTTCTCCTTTGGTGTTTGAGAGAATTAATGACACAAAATGCTGTAGGTATATCAGAGGTAATGTGGCACGCCACTACCAATGCTTTTTAATTACCATGCTGCATCTGTCAGACCCAGCCTGTCAATGGCCTAAACGCGGACTGTGAGGCTGGACTTCCGATGCGCTTGCATCCTCCAGTCCTGCGTTTCCTTCATTGTTTGTGTTATCACTAAGGTTATTTTCAGACTTCATTATTATCCTGCTGTGACAATAAGCAGGTGAATTATGTTTAATCTGTGGTGAGCAGGAGCATAACCTGTGTCTTGCATACAAACTGAGAGCCTGACATGAGAGCAGCAGTCATGGGCTGCAGGCTGGTAGTGCTCCATCGCATGGCCAACCCTTAGTGAAGGAGCTGCTCAGTTTTGCCTAAAGCCCTCTTTCAATGCCTGCGGAAGTGCAGAACAGACCCTGTATTTGTCCTTATTGCTGCCCAGGGCAGGACAATCCTTTCTGACTATAGACAATATCATCACGTGCCCAACTGCATCCCCCTGCCACATGGTGCCTTCATGTCCCAGAGGACTGTGCCTGTGGATATGGGGAATATTCATCCCAGGGACAGGCTGCAAGGGCCCTGCAGTGGCCCCTGAGTTCATCTGTCCCAAGGCAAGACCTGCTTGACCTAACCCACTTGTGTTTAACCACTCACAGTCATTCTTTCTATATGTATTCTGAAATGACTTTTAGTTTTGGACCGACCAGTATCTTCAAGCTCAGAATTGCTTGAAAGAAATGGTTCCAGTTTGGAATATGCAACTGGGATGGGTTTGGGAGCTTTCTAGTAATTGCTGTAGCCACTGTGAAATCTTACCTGATCACCTTTATTATGGAAACCAGCAAACAGTTGTGAGCCCAAGATACAAAAAGGATTGAGTATTCTGGCTAATTAATGTAGCAAAGAGACTGGATGACACTCGCTTCTGATAAAGGTTAACGTGACAAGACAGCATGCAGAACTGCGTTGTGGTCACAGGAGAGAACTCAGCATTGTAGTAGATTTTCTTGCTTTTGTCCTATACTGATACTTGTATGTGCTCCTTGAGTTCTTGGTTTGCATCTACTGCTGTCTTTGGATGAGAAGATCTGTATAGTGTTGCCTTGGTGTCATCAAGCAACTTTCCAATCACTTCATCATCTGAACAACCATGGGGTGCTTGAAGCAGCTCTGTCTCCAGAGACTTCTAAAGTCATTGGTCTGCTCTGCTCTTCCCTTATTTCCTTAGCAAGCAGCAAAGTGAAGAACCCCCAGTGTTTTGCATCAGATCAACACGTGTTTTCTCAGTACATCTCTGTAACTAGATGTGACTTCAGCTCACACCACCAAATGAATGAGAGAGGAGATAAAGATAACAAAGTAATTGCAGTGCAATGTACCAGGGGAAATGTGGTTTTAGTGATTTCACGTTAACAGGCGGGTGGGTTGTAGCATAACTTTCCCTCTTTGCTGTAGAGTGCCCTAGGCAAATGTACACTACACATAATATTTTGTGCTAATTAGAAGTCGGTGCTTTTCTAAGATGGTAATTTTATGGGCTTTGCATTCTGCCTCCACAGCCGCAGCCAGCAAGATATATATAAAAGCTTGTCTGTTTTTTCAAGCCCACAAGAGTGAGAAAATCTGCTGAGATGCTCTTTGTCTTTGCTCCCTAAATAAGTTCTGCTTCCCAGCAAAACCATGTTCTTCCAGCAGAGGCGAGAAAGGCAAAGTTTTCAGTGGCAGCCAGCAGAATGTCATTTGCATTCTTCTAGCAAACTCTGTATTCTTCACACTGCTTGTGGGTGTCTGCATATATGTTTAAGAGCTCAAAAATCTCTATTATAGCTTGAACAGTCATCTCTGAGGAAAACAAGCCATTCCAAAATTGAGAGTTTCTAGATGAACTAAAAGCCCAGAAGTTGGTGACACCGTTGAAGAACACTTTTCCTTTGAAAAGTGGCTCTGGAAATGACACCATCTCGCACAACAGATCTGCTTTGTCAGTAATGGGATCGGATCATTGCTTTTGCTGATTTTTTACTATTGAGCAGCTAAAACTTTCCTGCCCTTCCCAGATCAGCAGCAGGGCCCTTTATTTTAGGCTGTGTTTGGATACACCTGCAGGATCAGGGTTAAGAAGAGGTCCCAGCTCTCCCTATTTTGAAGACCATGAGGTGGCACAGGAGTCTTTAATCCCTGGTCATGGTGCTCGGGGAAGAAGCTCAGCCTGACTCTACTGGTTTGCGTATCGGGGCATACCACAGATGCAATCTGTTCAAGTGAAGCTAATGGCATCAGCGTGCAGGGAGCTGCATGGGGTGGGGGGATCTGTGCCCACCCTGGGACCTTTTCAGCTCTTTCTGTGGCCCCATCTGCAGAATTGGGGTCTTAACCCTTTGCTGCCTTGCAGGAGATTGCATGTAGTGAATTTGAAAGGACTTGGCTGTGGGCTAAGAGTGGTGCTCAGCCAAATTCAGCATCAGTGCAGTGCTCCTAAGCGGAGAGATGGATGTGCAGCATCTCTCAGCATGAGCTCATTTGAAGTGAATCGAATATAAGGGCTTAATCCCAAACTCGTTGTTGGGGGTGGGGTGTCTCCATTGTCTTTAAGGGGATTTGGGTCAATTTCTATGTGCTTCATATATTTATTATGATGTATTTATTAGTATTGCTGTGTGGATGCGTTTTCATACATCATTCAATACCCTGGGTCACTTCTAGCTATGACAGTGAAGGCATTGTTAATTTGCCAGGACAGCAGAGCAGCAACAGTAATGTCAGCTATAATTCATTCATTATGGTTATTTGGGTTGAGAAACTTGCATCACCATGGAGACATTTTAATAATAATGAAAAAAAAAATTAAAAGCAGCTTTTTAATGAGTTGGCAGCTTGTCCAAGTTGAAAGGTACTGTATTGTGGATTCATAATGAAATTTTGGACGTGAACTATTTTACATAAAAGGCCCAAAACTGTAGCCTGTAATTGGAACCAGGAAGGCGTATGGTCTTGATTCAGTGCTACAGGAAGATTTGTATACAGCAGGAGGGAGATAAAGCTCAGTGCATCCTATGGGAGGCACAATAATCGGATGCCTGCCTTTGCCAAGTATCTGGGTCTGTGTCCTAGGGAGAAACCGGGCTATAATCATGGCATTTAATTACTGAGTGCAAGTCCTCTATTCAGAATACTGCTTTATGCTGCTTTCCAAATGTGATTTAACTACGGTGAGGGATATTAAATAGGTGCAAGCAGTGTCTCTGTAGGTACCCTCGGGTGTCCCCCTCGCTGTCTGCCAGCACGAGCTGTCCGAAGCGCTGCCCGTTTTGGACGCAGCCCAGCCTGCCCGTGCCTCCCGTCTCCTCCACCGCCCGGCCGTGTAGCCCCGTGCTATGCAGCTAGATGCATTTTAAACACTGGTTTGCTAATAAAAGTTAAAGCGACTTCCAGGCAGAAGAGGAGAGGGTGAGCTCATGGCCTCTCTGTGTCTGGACTTGCTAGCTTTGCTGCGGTTGGAAGAATTCCCCCTTCCCATGTTCCCGGTCCCCTCCCTGGGTCAAAATCCCTTACGCAGCCCTTGGACACCATCTCAGAAAAGCCTAAAGGGGCAAAGGAAATCTATTTGACGCTTACGGCCACTGAGCTTGACATTTTTTGTGGTTTATAAGGCTACGGATCTGCAGCTTAAAAATGATCCATTGTGTTATTCCCTTCCCCGCATGCTGCCGGCTGCCACACACGTAGTCCCAGCGCACACCCTGTCGTGCCCACGCTGGGGCTGCCCCACTTTACTCTGCCCTGCTGCGGTTTAAGATTTCCCAAGCAGATACCCAGCGGTACAATGCAATCCTTGTTTTTGAAAGCCTGGACCTTAAAGGAAAGACACCCAGCAAGTTCTCACTGCTGAAATGCAGCATCTGAGGTGGTTATGCCCTGTAGGTACCCTCTGTTTCAGTAGCTCCCATCTCCAATAATTTGATCAAGCTCCTTACTAATGCTTCTGGTGTCTTTTAAGACCTCCTGGTTGGGATGTGCATCCAGGCTTTTCAGTTTGGGCTCATCTTTCTAGCCTGAATGGCAGAGAAAACAAACTGAGGAGTTGTGTCCTGTGTGGGGTGTGACTTGATGCCCGGATCGACTTGAAATGTGTTTGGCTTTGCAGGGGTTGACCCTGCAGAGCACTGCCTCCATACTGACCGTACTTGCTCCATACTTTAAATGTCATTGAAAAATAACCCTTGCAAAAATACAGGTAGGAACCACTAGAGATCAGACAGGGTTGCTTTCCTGAGTGGAGAAAAAGCTAGGAAATTTTTATTAGATGCTTTTTAATATGCAGACAAATTAGTATCTCCTACTGATTGCCAGATTTATTTATGCTTTCAGGTTTTTTGTCTGTACAAACCCTGAAAGCCAAAGCCACAGAATGCTCTGTTCTCATCTGGAGAACTTCCCTACTCTCCTAAATAAAACCCTTCAATATTGCATGTGCCTAACTGGCATCCGATGCTTAATTTCCTCTGTCCCTCTGACATCTTAAGTTAATTTGAGGACCTCGTGATACATGAAACAGAATGTTTTTGCCTTGTCTCCTAAAAAGCTCTAAAGCACACTAAGGAAGGGTTAGGTGCAAATAACACAGATTTAAACTAGCAGCTTGTTGAGAACCTCTGTTTCGCCAGCACTATGGTCTCGTCCCAAAACAGTAGACCCCTTGCCATCCTTTGCTTGCCAGTTCAAATGTGGGATGGCTTTTGGCTCTGACAGAGTGCGATAACAGCTGGAAAAAGGCTTTCTGATCATAAATGAATGATCCTCAGATGCTCAGTTCTGTGCTTGAGTTTTTAACATGCCATTAGAGCAGGCAGCCCTTGGGGGACACTGCTTTATGCTGGCTTTGCTGGTGCAATCTACTTTGGGTTGCAGCACGTCTCAACCCTGTATCACAATAGGCTTTGGGGGAAAGCCAGATCTTCACGTGGCAACTAAGATGCTGCCTTATATAAATTTTTAGGGTTGCTGACGTGCACACATCTGGAGGGATAAACCAATGGTCTCTCCATGGGTCATTAGACAACAAGACTGTTTCTGTAGGGATTAATTTTCAAGGAAACCTGACTAACCTCTTTGCTTTTCCACTCCAGCTTCCCCATTCCCAGAGGACTTCTCCATTCTAACCACTGTAAAAGCGAAGAAAGGAGGTCAGTCCTTCTTGATCTCAATTTACAATGAGCAAGGGATCCAGCAAATTGGTGTGGAGATGGGTAGATCTCCTGTATTCCTGTATGAAGACCATACAGGAAAGCCAGGCCCAGAAGACTATCCTCTCTTTAGAGGCATTAACCTAGCAGATGGCAAGTAAGTGAAATTTTGTGCACAAAGGAAAAAACAGTACATTGTTTATATCAATACCAGCATGTTGAACATTCTGTAAAATAGGAGTCATGTATATATAAATGTATATGCACACCTTTGACTACTGTCAAGTGTCCCATTCTTGAACTTTACCCTTTGGTGAATAAATACTGCATATATAAAAAAATATAAAAAAGCATGAATTGCATTCTAGTCAGTGCAAATTCTAACACTTATGGGGGTAGGAACACTGATTTTTGCTGCCAAGGGCCTTAAGAAATTGGTTTGTCTTGCAAAATCCATACTTAGTCTTCCATAAGGAGGGTAGAAAAGTGGGATAGCCCGCGAATTATCGGTGTGGTTTTTCCCTCTGCCTCTTGTTGAAGCCAGAACTGGCACTCTCCTACCTGTTTTGGAAGGATGAGAATTGAATGGCATCTGGCAATACAGCCTTTCTATTTCAAATGAAGTCTTTAGGGTCTGCCCAAGAATGACTTTCATGTGTTTGCAGATGATGGCTGGCATGAAGGTTTGCAGAATATTGGTTTATGAAAGCTGCATTATTATACAATTGTTAGCTTGTTCTTGAATGCCCAAGGCTCTGTTTAACACATTTGTGGACTGTGTTCTAGGTGGCACAGAGTAGCTATCAGTGTGCAGAAGAAAAATGTCACTTTGATTTTGGACTGTAAAAAGAAGATAACCAAGTTCTTGGACCGAAGTGACCATCCCATCATTGATGTCAATGGCATTATTGTGTTTGGAACAAGGATATTGGATGAGGAAGTCTTTGAGGTAAGTTGTGATTATGAACAGCTCTGGAGATAATTTCACAGAGATGATGAGCTGGGTTCTGGCTGATGAGGTATTTACAGCCCATTTTTGGAACTCGTACTGGATGTTTGCATAATAGAACAATGTCATGTGCAACTTAAAATTAAGTTTTTCTTCTGACTAGGTAAATACTTTCTGTAATGACAATAAAAATGGTGGACCAGGTGACCTGTTAGAGAACCAGAGGAGCTCACTGGTTTCATACCCTTGCTGGGATTCTAGACCAGTACCTGCACTTGGATTTTGTAGGTCTGTAGCTCTTGTGGTCTTGACTTGTTTAGCATGGGACGACGGGCTCATAAGGTTTTCATTTAACCCTGTGTTGTTATTTAGGTGAACTTGCAGGGACAGTAAATGAAGGCTGAGAAAAGCAGCTCCCTTGCATGTCACAGTTCACTCTGGGGCTATAGGAGTTTGGTCTCTTACCATGCATTGGTCGTTAGTTCTTGGTTTCTTGCACCATGACATAAGTGGACTCTCCTCACAGCTTGTTTGGCAGCTCTGTCACCTCCCACACAGCAACTGCTTTTAAAAAGCAAATCAAAATCGTGATGGGTGGAATGTTCCCATGAGTGCCTCTGATTTAAGCAAAGAGATAGAGGATTATTTATAGACAAGGTACATATGGTAGAAGTTCTTCCCATAGTTCAGCAGCTAGTTTAATATATGCATTTCACTAGCAATCTTAACTTCTGCGGTCTGCTGCACTTCTGAGATTTTCATGCGTATGATAATCTCATCCCTGATCTTTCTTGCAAGCTAGAATTGCTTCCCCGAAATCAGTGCTAGTGCAATGGAGTGTAAACTGAGACCTATTGATCCCTATCTCCTTGTTTTTATGACATTTATGTGGAGGAAGAGCTGTATCTCATGGGCCTCCCCAACCCAGCAGAGGGATGGGGAACATCTATTGGTGGGTAATTAGAGCCGAAGCGAAGCCAGCTCTTGTCTGCATTTTGCTGTCACTAGGAAGGAAGGTTCCAGTCTGTTTAACATTACTAACATCTGGGAGCTGGTCTGCTGTGAACAGCAAGAATGCATGGACTGAACGTTGCTGCCAAAATCCCAGTTACAGAGTTAGAGCTGAATCTCTAAATTGTATTAAATTAATAGACATTCCCTGGGAAGTTTAACAATTAAAATAGAAAGTAAAAGCTGGGTTTAATGGGCACTGGAGTGTCTTTTGCAAGTGTTGGATGTTCTGCCAAAAATTTCAGCAGTTGCACTGGATGCTGTGTTTTAAGTGGAGTTGTTATATGAAGCGGTGACCTTTTCTGGGGAGCCACTGGATCCAGGGATCTAGCAGATCCACTTGAACTTAGTATCACATCCAAACTGGATAAGAAACCTGCACTTCAAACTACTTCATTTTGCAAAGTAACACAGCTTCCATAACTGCCCTGAAGCTTGAGATGTTCCCAGGTGGCTTTTAGTGCTCACCTAGATTTAGGACTTGGTGATTCTTCTCCCAGCCAAGGGAACACATGTTTATGGGCAGCAATGGTCTCCGAGCTCCACTGCTAGCCCTTCCCATGGGGCTGGCCACAGACCCCTTGCTGAAAAGGACTTACCTAGGGGTAGAAGCTCAGAGGGCTTGTGTTCCCCTCCGCTGGAGCCTGTTGCCTGTTCTGGGTATAAGATGCACCTACAAGATCATTGCAGGCGCTTACTGAGAATGGGGCAATTACCAAGAATTTTTTCCTCTGTTTTACATGTACTGATATTATATAGCATGCATATAAACCCCCCTCTAGTTCTGGTATTTGTCCGTTGTTCTTTTGTCATCCTCGTCAGACAAAGGGTTTTCAGTGTATCCACACACACTAATCAAGATACCAGCAGCTTTCAACTGAACGTAGTTAATGTGTTTCATGAAGGCAGTGGACTATAACCTAATTTCCTTCATATCTCGGCAACTTAATTTCCTTTGGCCTCTCCTTTCTTCTTTCTGCCAAGCCTAAGCAGAAACTGCATAGGGAAAACTGTGTCTCGGAACAATGGGAAATGGGTGTAAACTGTTGAAGTTCTGTATTCCTGAAAAGCTGATAATGTCTGGACTGAATGCAGAACGGTGAGATGAAGCTGCTGCCGTCATGTAGGCAACTGCTCCACAAACCTCAGCTAACAAGATGTTCCCCAGTGCTTTCTGCACCCGTGGTGTTGCCTGGCTCTTACACGTTTGTTGCTTTTGCTGGAAATTAAAATAACGCCGTTAGCTGGGAGTGGGATGGAAGGCAGCGCTGGGGAGGCTGTGTCTCAGCATGAATCAGCAAGAGCTGTACGTAGTGGGTATTCATGTCCTCCTTGCGAGGACTGCAATCAAATAAAACCCTAAACACGTTTTGTTTTGGAAGTTGTAATTATTTAAGCTCCAGGTCTAGCTGGGGTCGCGAGCGAAGCAGCTCTGCTGTATTCATTGATCAAGCGCCCAGATGGGGACGTCCTCGCTCGTAGTCTGCTGCAGAAAAAGCCTGGCAGGAAAGGTTAGAGGAGTTTCAAAATATTTCTCTAGCACAACATTCTTCCAGTGGAAAAATTACTTCCTCTCATTAAAATTCAATTAGTTCAGAGGCTGTGTGGATCTCTCTGTACGGCTGGGGAAACGCCGGGTGGGTTTGAAAAGGGGCCAAGCCTGGAGCCTAGGTTATACAAGTTATGTTTTGTGCTGAGCTGTTGTTCAAAACAGGAGTTTACAAATGTCAGGACAGGCTCTCGCACCAGGGTTGGGAAGTGGCGGCTGGCTTCAAGCTGTGACTGAGAGGATGCTGTTGTGAGACAGCAAAGGGCCATTTTGTGGAGAGAGGAGAGGAAGAACAGAACTAGCCCACGGTGCGGGATAAACGCTTTCTCTCTGCTTGCAGGCTGTAGTAAGCAGTGTTCCTGGGGCCACAGCAGCACTGGAAGGAAGTCAGAAGACATGTGAATGTTATCTCATTTTTAGAGGGATTAGCTGTTTCTTTTGATGTGCTTTTTTTAAACATACACTAGAAACCAAGTCCTAGCACAGTCTAATGGTTAGGCATAGGAATAGAGAGAGGATCAAGTTTGGGAAAGTCCCTTTCCCAGAAAGCAAAGCATCTTCTCCCTGAAACCCGGGGAGACTTCCTAAAGCACCCTGGTGACGTGATGGCCCTGCTCCTGCCTCCGCTCCGCAGCGATGCGCCGCGTGAGCTGCCTGTTTGCTGCCTGCGCTCTGTTGCAGGAGTCACCTTTTTGTGCAGGATCCCATCAGGTCTTGTGTGGATAACAAGAAGCTGGAAGTTGAGCCCAGCTCTGGCAGCAGCGTGTCGATCCCAGGGCTGGCCCGCCAGCCCTTGCGTGGGCTGATCCCTGGCAGCCTGCGCAAGTGTCAGAGCTGAGAGTAAGTTGAGCGCTTGTGGGGCCGATGCTTTGCCTGCTTGAGGGTTTACTTGGCTGTTACTCGCACGCTTCTGTGGCATGTTGTACCCAACAGCCACGGCTGTGGGCTGTTGCGATGCTTTGTGGTCTTTCATTGGGGATCATCCTTGGAAGATGCTCATGCCAAGGAATTTTTGCTCCATATACAAATTGTCACTGGGTCCAGGGGACCGCACCTATCTCCCTGGCGCTTCCTCCTTCCATCAGGGCAGGTAGTCAGGCTGGAATATGGTCTCTTCTCCCACCCTCAAACGAAGCCTGGCAAGGCTTTGATGTGTTTGGCCAAAACAGTGTGCAGCTCGCTTAATCCATTTGACTGCCATGTTCCAGGACCACACAGATGGCACCTCCCCATGGGTTGGCTTTTCCAACCTGTCCCTTGCTGTGGTGGTCTGGTGGAAAAGCAGTTCAGTTGGTTCTGGGCTGAAAAGGTTGTTCTGGTTTAGCAGACGTGGGTTGAAACAAAGTTCAGGTCCTGGCTCACTAAGGTCACTGGTGCGGTGTTTCTGTCCCAGAAGTGTCTGTATTACAGCAGTGAACGGAAATCCCGTAACCCACAGCTTGGTGGGTTTTTATGCATGGAAAGTGCTGCACAATGTCTATGGCAGGTCAGTATTCTTGTCCCTAGGCCGAATTAGGTGAACTTAATCCCTTTGCAATGGTGTTCTGAAGCATCTCATGTATTCCTACAAGAAGTTTGGTTTCTGCAGTAGGGTGTGCCCCAGTCGTGTTTTACTACTGTTTTACTCTGTAGACCAGCACTTCCCAGCAATGGGCTGATGAACAAAATGAAACTTGTCCAGACCTTGACAAATTCTTCCATATTTCTGCTGGAAGTCCTACTCTGTCTTCTGATCCGTCAGGAAGAGACTATTGTGTGAGGCTGTTGTAGCTATAAAAGTACTGTATAGTACCTGGCTGGCAGAGCTAGCACTGGTGTCATTAAAATTATGATGTGGACATTGGTAAAAAAAAGTAGGTTTTAGTAAAACTGATATCCTAGGAACAAGTGAGTATGTTTGATGTAAATTATTTTTGGTTCATCTGTTCAAAATTTTGCAGGATTGTCCCACAAGGTATCTGCTGTTTAGACCCTCTAGAAATAATGTTTTGGAGTAGTGTCTGCTATTGTTGTAGATGAAATTAGTTTTCCAATAAGTGGAAAAGCTCAGTGCATGCGTATATTGCTTTTTAAGGTTTATGTCTTTTACTGTTGTTGGCCCCTCTGGAGATAAGAGGAGCTTATTTTGTCGAGCTGAGTACCATAACCGTGTCTCATTGGTGTAGCTGGTACTGTAAAACCAAGTGGTTTCCTCTGATCCTGCCAAACAAGGTGCAAAGTGAGAGGATCTCAGACACCTGCGGACACTATTCTGCCAAGGCAGTGAAACTGAGGGGCTGACGAAGTATTTGCTGTTAACTCACGCCAAAGCTTGTCCTGGGATGAGATATGGTGCAACGCTGGGCTTTGGGTGATGCTGAAAGGATAGTGCTTTTAATTTTCTTTTCTCCTTTGTGTTTTTGAAGACTGCTAGTGAAATCAAGACGTCAGAAATGGAGGG